TTCCGTGTGAGGCTCTTGTTTATTTCCGTCAGTCTGGTGGAGCTCCGGCAGCTGGAGGAGAACACAGTGAGCCGACAGAAGAAGCCGTAAATATGCGTTCACTCTTCGGGCTTCTCGCAGTTGTGACTGTGGCGAGTCTCTACCTGTATTCTCTGTCTCTGCACCTGCCCGCTGGGCCACGCAGGAGAGCTGTCCCTTCTGCTCATGCCCATGGTGAGCATCTGGACACGGCTGACGAGTCTGCCCACAACACTGAGGAACCCAGTAGGTGAGCTGATAAATAGGAACTATCACTTCAGCCGACTGATAGGAGTATCATGCAACAATTTTTATATTGTGTGCCCTTTGCCACAATGACGTTTGCCATTTGATATTCGTGTTTATACTGTATGTGACTTTTGAAGTTCTTTGCCATTCTGACTGATCAAAAACAGAAGCTAAAATTGTATTTATATTATCCAACAAGATGTGTACATTTCCTCATAAACTACTTTATAATCTTATATGCAAAATAATAATAATAATGACAATCTATGAAAAAGAAAAGTGTGTTTCACTGAACAACACTCCATTTTAGTTATTTATATAAATTTAGCTGGACTACATTAATATAGATCCCAAAAACAATAATTTCATTGGATAATCAAGGAAACATAGTCAATTCTTACTCCATTTGTCCCCAAACATTTCCATGAGTAGTTTAGAGTGCCACACGCTGGGCGTAAGTCTTATTGATAATAAAATTATTATGTAATATTGCTAATTTATCCAGAGCCGCTGTGGTATTTTCCAGCTCAAGTGATATCAGCTGTTACTGATCAGGGGCAAGAAAAAATATTTATTTATTTTTTTGTACAATTATTTTTGACCAACTCTGTTCTCTTTGGGTTCCTATAGGTTGAAGTTTCCTTCAGACCTGGAGGAGCTGAGAGAACTGGCTGAGCTCCTGCAGTTCTATAAGACAGAGCACACTGGATACGTCCTGCTGTTGTTCAGCAGTGCTTATCTGTACAAGCAGTCTTTTGCTATTCCTGGATCGTCGTTTCTGGTGAGGCTTCAATAGTGGCAGATATTTTTAACTTTTACTGTGACAAAAATACTAATCATGTCTAATGGCGGTGGCGAGGGAGCAGGGATTGGCACTTAAATGATATGAAACACTGCCACAGCAGACAGGTCGTGTCCAAGTGTATTAAACCTACTGTGGCATCTACTGTAGGAAGTGACAACCACTGTATGTTTGTCTGGACAGTGAATTGTGTTTCATTGAGTCAGTGCAGTAAAACAAAACATATTAACCACAAACCACGACATATAAACGTGGTTCTCATCTACAATGGGACACATCAAACCACAATTTTGAATCCAGTCTTGATTCCTGTGTGTTTTCTTCTGTTTCCCTGCCTGGTACAGAACATTCTTGCTGGAGCTATATTTGGACTGCATGAAGGACTGCTGCTGACCTGTGTGCTCACCACTGTGGGCTCCACCATGTGCTACCTGCTGTCACAGGCCTTTGGGAAACAGTATATTGTTAATTTCTTCCCTGATAAAGTCGCCATGCTTCAGGGGAAGGTAAGACAACCAGTGCTGCTCCTCAAACAAGTTTGATCAGTCACAGTGATTCTATTCATGCACTGAATAATGACACCATTGATATCAGCCTTTGAGGAATTCTTATGAACAGTCTGTGCTCGTAAACACCACGTTGTTGCAATCTTTTGTTACATACCTGTTTCTAGAGGGACTTTGTTTTGCAGCTATTGACGATAATAACTTGTAAATGTGCTTTTATGTAAATGAAAATTGCTGTATTCTTATTAATCTCATGTCTCTCCCAGGTGGAGGAGAACAAAGACTGTCTCTTCTTCTTTCTGCTCTTCTTGCGATTCTTTCCCATGACGCCCAACTGGTTTCTGAACATGTCTGCACCTATAGTGAACATTCCCATCACATTCTTCTTCTTTTCAGTCTTCATTGGTAAGCATATATAATACACTGCGCATCATTCTGTTTCAGTTTGAACTGGAGCCCATCCCAGAAGTCATCTGGGCAGAGTGTTTTTTTTCATCATTATGTGTTTCTGGCTTTACTTGTGTAGCAGCTCAGTATAAATGTTTCGTTTTTTTTCCAGGTCTCCTTCCCTACAACTTCATCTGTGTGCAGACAGGTGTCATGCTCTCTGAACTGTCATCCCTGGATGACCTGTTCTCCTGGCAGCGGCTGTTACAGCTGCTGGCCATCGCCTGCATGGCTCTGCTGCCGGGTGCACTCATCCGACACTTCAGTCAGAGGCATCTGAAGCTGAACGTGAAGCCGGCACAGAACGGCGTCATCACAGATAAGAAGCTCCAGTGACTCGTTCGTGGTTTTGTGTTTTGAAGAACTGCCTGCCAAATAACTTGTGGAACCAAACGTGTTCCTGCACCGAACTTCTGCCAACACAGCAGGGACGGTGTTCACAGGATGTGTGTGAATGTAATTTCAAGGAGAATGTTGAAGATTGTCAGTACATGAGCCCATGTTCATAGTGCCTGCCACGCAGTTATACAGTCAAACTTCTACCTCTGGCATGGACGTGACAGAGAAATGTACAAAAGGTTTCTAAATGACTGGGCTCCTTTTTTGAGATTTGACTCTTCAGATGATTATTTGTTTTAATGTTTGTATCAATTATTTGGGTATTACTGGTATCTTGCATACTGATTGTATTGCAGTACATGTACAGAGTATTTTGTAATTGAGGAAATTTCATATCTGGCCGACTTGAGACCAGAGGTTAATGAGCCATTTTGCGGGCACAATTGAACTAAGCTGTATTTTTTATCATAACTTAAACATGTCTGATGCTGCGTTTATGATTTAAAATGATTTTGTGGTTTATTTAAATTAAAAAACAGCCTTTGTTGGAAAGAAAAAAAGCCTTAAATCCCCAAAAGCAATCTCTGTTGTATTTTTTTGTTCATGTCTTTTAAAGCAGTTGTTTTCAAATGGTCAAGACTTTTATTTATTTATTTTTTATCTTTCTCTTAAGTTAACTGAGGTAGAATATGTGGGAATTTTCTAAATCTTAAACCACTAACTATACAAAAGTTATTCCCCATAGTCATTTTAAACGACCAGTATACGTTAATGGTGGTACATTTTCTGTGACTGTCTGAATTTTGACAGCTTCTAATTTCTGTGTATCTGCCATTTGAAAAAGGATCAACAAGGTGACAGTAATTTAACCCAGGTGATCCAGAGCAGCTGAAAGTAAGATCAGAGGGACACCACACATACAGTACATGTATCTGTTGTTTGTGTAAGGCTTTCATTCCTTCAGATAAGGCAACAGCTGTTAAAAGCCAACAAAGGTCAAGGTCACCTCAGCTGGTCCTGCCACGCCACAATGCGTCAGAATTTAATATTCCATCAAAGTCTACCTTCAGCAAAAAAAAAAGGATTTGTGATTTTATCAAAGTAAACAGTATTCTATACAGTTTATCCTCTTTGACCAAAAGACTGCAATAAAACGTCTTTACTGTGTAGAATTGAACTGCGGTAGAGAAAAAGAGAGAACACTGTTTTAAAATGTTCACATTATTGTGTAGTGGATCGAACAAATCCTCACAATGACCCACTTTAGGGTCATCCCCTTCCACTTGAAAACCACCACAATCCTAAAGCATAAAGTGTTATTGTGGAAATGAAATGTCATTCAACATCTGAAATGTTTCTTCTTTTTTTTTTTTATCAAGATGTAAGTGTTAACTATAAGCCACGGTTTTACTGGGGCCACTGTCATTTCAATGTTGGGAAAAATTAATTAATAAAAACAGAAAAAAAAATTCTTTCAAAGAGTCTTTATTGCTCAGATCCAGGTTGCTCAGCAATACAGTTCAATCACAATTTAAAACAACAGCATGGCTGTGTCCACAAAGGCATGGATCCACATGGATGTATTAAACAGGGATCAAATGTCATTGCAGCTCACAGTCATCAGTTACCTTGAGGTGTCCGGGACCTTTGTTTGGTCCGAAATGTAGAAATTGAGAGTTCTGACCTAGTGAGGATAGAAAAGGTTTCCCTATGGTCAAAAACAATTTGGAAACTGATCTGTAATCTATGAAGTGTTAATACATCGAGGATCACCTACAACAGTGTCATGTTAAACATGTGACACATTTCACCAGATTTGTACTAAATTCCTCCTCATATTTATTTTTGCATGGCTTTTTTAATGCCCTCTGTGTAAGATCAATTCTTATTTGGAGACCTGGATATTGTCAAACAAACAGACATTTCTACTTGAATTATTCACTATTTGATTCTGCTTCTCCATTCTGACTTCCACAAATGTGTTAAAAACAGAGACAGAACGTGTTTTATCCACAACTCAACAGCTAGCGTTACTGGTAGTGATCAAACAGGAATGAGTATTGGAGTAAAAATTCCCATCTACTGCAGCAGACTTAAGGTGTCCCTTAAGTCGGTGAGTGCCACAAGGAAACCAGATCAACAGAAAAACAGAGGAAAAAGCCTCAACTATGCAACCACTGTGTGATTTGACTAACAACACTGTACACTCTCAGCGATGCGTATGATTGTTGTTTTTATTTCTGGCGTTGACTTTTCATTTTGATGCCTAGCAAAACACCCAACAAAAACTAGAAACAATAATTCTCTAAAATAATTGTTTACCACCATCTGGACAGGTTTGACCTCAGCACTGCTGCCAAACCAGAACCAGCGAGAGGCAAAGCTGCACTTTATTCTAAAAAAAAAAAAACACGAGAGAGAGAGACAATGCAAGAGAAGAGCCTCGACTGCAACAATGGTCTAAGAAGAAACAAACGACGATGGACAAAGTTTTCTCTCCAGTGCTACTGTGAAAGGCTGTTTTTATTCAACATTTGTCTATAACAGTGAAGCACACCACCACAGGAGCCACGAGGTGGCAGTAGAAGCACCGTACTACGTTGGTGGAGGAGTGGGGGGGTAAGGTCGGGGGTGTTTTCGTCAGGTCTGCTGAGCTGTTGTCATCAGTATGAGGTACTGTACTGGCTGTAAGGAGGAAGAGCCCCCAGACTTTGTGAGTTTAATACGACCGTTATGATTGGTGTAACTGCAAAAGTGTGTTCACTGGGACGACAATGAGCCACCTCATCTGATGACAAAAGCCTGCCCTCTAAAAATAAAGTAATAATAATTAAAAAAAAAAGAAATCAGCTCTAGAGGAGTTAAAAAAAAACTCCAGACAAAACACTAACTTTCACTACAACACCATTCATTTATTCATGTTCTACTTTGCCCTACATTGTTTTTAGTATCTAACGTCAGCCTTGGATTCTGAGAGGTAATTCTAAAACGTACAGCACAAATTAAAAAAAAAAAAAAAAAATCAAAACTCTACATGTGTGAGATAAACATTTAGAGGGTCAGTTTTGAGGGAAGCCGTGACGCTCTCTAAACGTCTCCCACCATCTCCCACGATGCAGGAGCAGACGGGTAAGTGTTGTTATGGAGCGACAGAACACAATGCATTCATGTGTGACACTATTGTACATGTTTACAGATATACAGTTCTCCTCGTTGTCGTACACAGTGACATTTCAACGACTAAAGTTGTTTCTACATTGTACACAGAGGATGAGGATTTAACAACGTTTCGAAAGAGTCCCGTCAGTGTATTTTTGCAGCTTTGTGTTTTTCTTGAAATCAACCCCAGAGTTATCAAATAGAGCTGGTAAGGTCAGACCGGGTGGTTATAAAATTTCTGTCTTTTTTCTTAGTTATTTTTATTTATTTATTTATGTTAAACAAGTGAATAAACAACATTGTTTTTCTGTCTCAAAAACCTGGAGGTACAGTTCCCAGCCAGCATGTCCATCTGGGCCTTACGTGGGCTGGTTTGGGCTCTAAGTCAGTGTCCATAAACTAACTCCTTATAGCTAAGAACTGAGTCAAACACCTCAGAGTTGGACTCACACACAAAACTTACTGAGATCTGAGTCAAAAGTAACAACTTCACTCGTCTCAAACATCTCTGTTGTGATTCAGACTTTCAGCTAAAACAGGACTGAACACAGATTTAAGTCATGTTTGGAGACTTGGACTCGGTCCTGACTTGGACTCGGACCTGAAGCCCTAGAGACTCTACTGTCTCTGTGTCTCTATTCTGGCTCAATCTACATTTTTATAGGGTCTCAAACTCATTCTCAAATGAATCCTCATTCGTAACGCTAACTCAAATTCAAGAGACTCGTCTCGGACTCGACCCCAAACACTTTTCTGCGACTTGGGTATTCATGTCAAACTAGGACCTTAACTTTGACACAACCTCACATTTTTCTTCAGCGACTGTAACTCGTACTCCAACAATCTGCAAATTGCAGCCAAGACTTTCTCCAATTTTCTTGTATGACTTAGACACAGACTTGACACGATGTCGAGTCAACTCGGTCCAAACCCAATCGATTTCTTTGACTGACTTAAAATCCTGGGGAACTGACTATCACTTGACCTAAATGTTGTGTTTTTCAGTGACTTGGATTTGAACCTTGAAGACTGGACTACAATCCCAGAAGATGCATTCAAAGTGATTGAAATCAAGGTTCTTGAACCTTGAAGACTGGACTACAATCCTAGAAGATGCATTTGGTCTACACCCACACCTGGGCCCAGGTAGGACAAACCCAAACATAGGTCCCAAATATAAGTGCTGGCTGGGCGCTTGGAAAAACAGGAGGTACAGTTGGCTTAGGTCTGTTTCTTGAAACCGATTTGAAACTTTTTCCGTCTTTTCATTTCATTTGTGACGGTGAAGTCAGTACACAACATCCACGTTCAGAAGCACTCGGTCAGGTATGTACCCCGTTAGATCCTGCACTTCATTCCTTTCTGGCAGAAATGGACTTGGAAAAAATCCTTTGACATGTTTATCATTAAGAGGTTGTTTAGCGTCCAGGCAAAGACAATCCAACAGAGTTGACTACAAAGTTTCACTAGTCAGCTGGACCTGACAAAGCTTAGAGATTACTGTAGATCTTTTAACCGGATCTATTTTTTTTCTTATTATTAAAAATAAAATTAAAAAAAAAAAACTCTCAAAATGATCAACAAGGTTAACAAGGCATACAAAATGTGGAAAAAGGGGGGAAATGAAAGATTGGACTGAGGTACCCTGAAGCCTGAGGTAGATCACAATACTGACATGCGCACTGTTCACATCATGACCAAAGTTAACACGGTCACTGACTTGACTGTTCTCCTATTTTTCAGGTTTTTACGTTATATTATTATTATTATTATCAGAATTATTCATAGTCTAGATTTCAAGAAAATAAATGCTTCCCTTCAAAATAATATGGCAGTGTCCCACTGAGGAAAAAAAAAAGAAAAAGGACTTTGTTTTCTTTTTGTTTCTTATCAATAGCTCTCATCACAAAATAGGAAAAAAATAGATTCATAAATATTACTCTCTCTTTTTTATATATATATACACAAATGCACACGCATACACACACACGCGCGCACACATCCACTCACTCACACACACACACACATGCAGGACGCTGTGCGTGCTGGCAAAGATCCTTGCGTTTGGAAAATGAAGTTGATGGGTGAAGGTGACAAAATAAGGCAACAAGCTTCCACATTCTCTTCAGTAAAGCACAAAGGGACACCAGCACCCGTGTGTCCAGCGTGCACGCACAGCAGCCCGGCCAGCTCGCAAAAAAAAAAAAAAAAAAAAAAAAAAGCAAAGTGAAAAAAAAAAGGA